CACACACACACACACACACACACACACACACACACACACACACACAAACACATGCACAAAATGCACATATTATTCCTTTCAACTAATACATAGAATCACTACAGAATAACCTTGATAAGAAACAAATATTAATGAAGAAAAAAACATTGTTTTTCCACTACTATGAATCCACCAGGCAAAAATGTAGGCATGAAACTATTTCTAATATGCACCTAGAGAAACAGAAGATGACAGAGAGGGTTTCCAAAGTCTGATGTTTCTATGATGTGTATCTAAACAAATGTTCATCTGACAAAGGAGAAGTAATTAACCCATAGTATCTGATCAACAGAATCAGAAACCAATCCAGTCTGCTTTCAATCAATTGCAGTTACACTCAGCACACATCAAAATCTTTTCAGGCTTCATGGCACTATGTTGTATAATATCAAGCTCATGTTTTTCCTTCATTAAAAGTATCTAGTAGTCAAGTAGACAAGACACAGCCTGGGAATCAGATTTTTTTCAAATGCCTCATCACTCTTTATTGTATTTCTATTTGTTCACTTCCTTACAAGTAGATTAGATGCTAAAGGACACTGTTAGTTTGTCAGCTACTGATACAGAAATTTTCAGAAATTTATTACTTCATTGTAGCCGGAGAGTTTTCCTGCCTGGCCCACAGTCAGGACAAATCTCTGTCACCCGCCAGTCCCACAGCCGCTCAGACGCAACCAAGTAAACACAGAGACTTATATTGCTTACAAACTGTATGGCCATGGCAGGCTTCTTGCTAACTGTTCTTATATGCCATTTCAGTCTTACAAATGTTGCAGTTTAAAGCAATAGATTCACAATAAGACAGATTCAGATGTAATAGTTTACAATGTGTGTAAAATATATGTAGACTTGAAAGAGACAAAAAAGGGGATATATACAGTTATATAAACAAATTCGTAGTTTTAAAAAATAAAGTCTTTAAAGAGACAGTAAAATTAATATAAAAAATAAGCCAAGTAAAGATGGATATTTACACAGAGAATCTGGATTATGTTGTCTTTGGGATTTTTAACTGCAGAAAAACATTTGATTGTAAAAGATGCTGAGTTAAACCAATATGTATATTTTAAAGGTACCTTGACTTCAGAATTTGGATGTAAGGATATGTTGCTTTGGAAGGGAGGCTCTGCTTTTGTTTCCACAGAAAGCAAGAGGCTATGGATTTGTTCCAGATTAAGATACATCAGGTTTGACCAGCCAAGACCCCCTGAAAGGTCTCTGATGACACCAAGGCCCAGATGATCCAACATCCAGAACCATTTCAAGACAACTGGCTCAGAAGATACACCCTCACGGACAACTCCACACTCCTAAAATTTTCTTTGTGTCCCCATAAGACACAGTGCCCCCCCCCAAGCAGGAAGTAATAAGAGAAGCTACGCCCAAATTCCTAAATATACCAAGCTGGCTTTGGAGATGTGTAAAAGTTAAAACCTTCCTTTTAAAAAAAAGAGAGAAAAGAAAAGGGGAACTACTATGGGATGGTCTGTATGCCAAATGTGTTGCTCTGATTGGTCAATCAATAAAACACAGATTGGCCAGTAGCTAGGCAGGAAGTATAGGTGGGACTAACAGAGAGGAGAACTGAGAGAACAGGAAGGCAGAGGGACACACTGCCAGCCACCACCATGACAAGCAGCATATGAAGATGCCAGTAAGCCACAAGCCATGTGGCAAGGTATAGATTTATAGAAATGGATTAATTTAAGATGTAAGAACTAGATAGCTAGAAGCCTGAGCCATTAGGCCAAACAGTTTAAATAATATAAGCATCTGTGTGTTTATTTTATAAGTGGGCTGTCGAACTGCCGGAGCTTGGTGGGACCCAGAGAGAAAACTCTCCAGCTATACTTCATTGCCAAATGCAAATCATTATTTTGCAAGAATTTCTGTTATGGCCTTTCCCTCTTCATTTTGTATTCTATTTTCTAATGACTATGATTTTTCAATTCTGCATCATAAGATTAACACAGTATTTGCATGTATTTAGAACCTAGCAGTTATCCTAAGTAGACACACACACACACACACACACACACACACACACACACACACACACACACACCAGCCTCTCACATTCACACCCAAAATTCACTTCCAAGGTTATTCTTCTTTCTTTCCTTCCTTTCTTCTTTGTGTCTTTCATCTTTTCTTTCTCTCTCCCATCCTTCTTTTCTTCCTTTTTTGCCTTTATGGTTTCTGGAACTTAACTCAGAAATTTAAACACCCTAGCAAAGTAGTCTTCTACTGAGCTGTATAATCTGACCCTTGTGATTTGTTTGTAGAAAATCATCCCATTTTGTGTGCCGATTACAGCTCAGTAAATATCTAACTCCTTTCTAAAAAACACATCTTTTTTTGTTGAGGACGTCTTACCTACATAAAATGTTTTGATCAAGCACAACCTTCATTCTCTTCCCTCCAATTCCCCTCCATAAACCCATTATTATCACTTTTACTTCCCACCTTCTTGTGGGAAAAAAATCTGAATCCATTCAATACTGCCTGAATGTACATGGCTGTAGGATCATGTATTGGATCATGGGTAGCCTCTCCAGGGTCACATTCCCTCCCTGTCAGGGAGAATATATTGTATGAAACCTGACATTTAAAGGTAGTCTGCACATAGACAAACTAATACTGAGTCACTAGGAAGCCAATTACTTTATTATTTTTAATGCTCTGTTGATTTATTTCTGTGAATGTCTGTTTTTTCACCTCTGAAATTTAACTGTATATATTTGTACCATATTCTATGGGCATTGTTATTTATGGCTCTATCAGTGAAGATGAGCAGAAACTCCCTATCATTTGCTATGTGATACTTGATAAAACAATATACTTGATGGAAATAGAAATGCAATTTGCTTTTGCAAACCTCATCATAAACAAAATTGTGTTTTGTGTAAAATATTACCAGTGAGACTAATTTTCAACTTGGCATATTTTTTATCAGGTGCATAACCATGAAAGACCTTTCAAGGTAGATAAGTTTGTTTCAACATTCCATCCAGCAATACCAATGTGAGAGTGTTTCCATGATCAACAAAACATACCCATTTCCTTGCAGATCTTTACTGAATTATGTTTAAAGTCAACTGTTTTTAATGTATCATATCACTCACTCTTTTCAAGACCTTAAAAAGTAAATCTTAACCGGAATTATGGAAGCCTATGCTGAACCTGGTTACCTCTCTCCGTGGAATTTGGATTTTGTTTTTCAAATTGCTCAGTTACAAAATCTCTTCAATTTTTGTGGCCTCCATTCTTTCTAACTCCTGAACATTAGTTATTATGACACTCATCTCTGTAAGGTAGCCCACATATTGCATCCATTTCAGAATGTTGTCAGATCATTTCTTTTCAATGACCAACTTTTGAAGACACAGCTTTGACAAAATCTTAACAGGGTTGGGGTGTGAAAGATGCAGTTTAAGGGAAAGCAAGCATTGACCCTAGATCTTAAGGTTAAAAGTACCTATGACCATCTCCAAGTTCAAAACCTTGTACTGAGTCCTCATATTTTGTACTCAACAATTATTCAGTCGACTCATCCTAAGTCCCAGAGGTTGGTTGTCACATACTAGAGACAGTTATAATACAAGTCACCTAATAACTGTCTTCATTGTGTATATATTACAGTACTATAATAAGTATAGAAATATAGACACAACATGTTGTGGGTGAGTGAAGAAAAACAGGGCAGGCTTAAAGATGTTGGAGTGTCTTCACTGCAAAGTCCTGACTTCTCAGTTTGGGTCACAAAGATTGCATCGTTTGATCATTTTCTACTCTATGCTCTTCTAACAAGCATGCTCAGTTTTTCCTCCATCTGAAGTTTTTCTCTCTCATACTAACTTGTACTCACCCTTTCAAAAACTTTCACTCATTCCTTTCAGGACATTCTGACCTCTGAGCTTATGTGCATGCCAGAGCACTGTAAACACACTATAGCATTGAAAACACACTATGTTGTCATTCTCAACATTCATTTATTTCATTTCAAACATACAACAGACTCACTGAAGGAAAGAAATATGCTGCTTCACAAGGACTTAGTGACATTGAATACCAAGCCCGAAAGAAGTAAAACTCAATACATGCTTTATGATGCAGGTTAATATACAAGTAGGTGCTTAGATTTTAAAAAAAAAGCCATTTTAGGTACACAAATTAAACCTGACAATCAGAAATAAAAAATCAATTCGAATACTTTAAAATATGAGTTTCAAGAATATAGTAAGTCATATAAAAATAAAATTATCATTTTTTAAAGTTTACTTTTCCATAAACCCTAAATATAAATATTTTTCAAGATATAATAGCTAAAAATTACAGTTATGGCAGGTTAGAGCACGTCCATTTTAAAAGATATAAATTTTCATTTTCTTGAAGATTTTAACCAATGATAAATTACTAAAACATTACTAAATTTTAGCCAACAGCAAATTACTAAAAACAAATTACTAAAAGACACTCATTTATAGAAACTTGATTTTATTTAATCTCCACTCTTCTCAGACTGTTAATCCTGTAACTATGATAGCCTTGCACTCAGTTTTTGATATAAGAATATATTTTGTCTCTGAAATTCAAAGTAGAATCTTTATTATTTCTATAGAATTGTTTCTGAAAGATGATGTTCAATTTTTGAGTGATCAAAAAACCTATAGCAAATATTTCAAATGCTGTGAGTAGATAGAGAGAATAAAGAGATACCCACTGACATCTTTCCTCAGCACACATAGACCTCTTGTGGCAGATGATATAATATCTGACTGATTGCTATTAGCAAAATTAGGGCGTTTCCAGTTGACAGGTAGAGCGCTAGGTTCTTCAATTATGAAGGAATTAATGCAAACGTCTTCAACAGCACACACACTGATAGTGTTCACACTTTCCATGTCATCTCTCTCCTTGCAGTTCAGGTTGGCATAACAGTTGCAACGGAAGTTTTTGGAAAAGTACTGCAGGTCATCAAAGGTGGGACTGCCACGGATTTCATACTTTCCACTTTTCACAAATTGAATCTGAAAATTTTGGGGGCTCAAGTGAAGATAGTCATCTGAATTCCAGTCTTTCCTCGAACACATGCCTTGATCCCGGCAAAGTGTTTGGCTACACATTTTGGCTGCCAGGGTAACGTTGATTAAGTAAGGATTCAGTGTGTTCTCCAAGTAATCACGTAAGGTCAGACAAGATTTCTGTAAAGTCATAAGATAGAATATCAAGGCAGAAGTTCTATGTGACAATATACTGCATCAAGCAACTCTTAGAAAACAAAGCAATAGACACACCGCATTCTTAGGAAGTACTCTTTTTCACTTTAACAAACAATATTATTTACAAAACATTCCTGAGTTTTGTGTGCCATTTCATGGCACTGAATAATTATTTAGTTGAGGCACAATTTATCCTTGAACTTCCACAATTATTAAAGAATTAATCTAAGGGATGGAATGTTTCAGCTTTTAGAATATAGGCTTTGAATCTCTCTTGCTCTGAAAGTTGGAGTTAAAACCTTCATAAATAACCTTCTGTATGACTTGCAAATATATCAAACCTTGTAAGTCTTAGTTTCCTATTTGGGTGACCCCCAAGTCAAATTTATTAATTGAATTAATTGATAAGATTATGCTTGAGTTTTATCACCTGTAAGATAAGGATGTTTTTAAAGCCTGATACATGGAACTATTCTGAAGACAAAAAGAAAGATACATATATACATGCTTAACATGAGGCCTATGGTTTAATTAACCATAAAAATCATAGTAAGAATTATAATTGTCAGACAAGTTTAAACAGCATCAAAAATAGTTCCCAAAGTGATGGCTCAAAACAAATGGGTTCAAACTGCATAGTTTATATATTACATAATTGTGTATTCATGACAGTCAGTCCTTTGGCAAATTTTGCAGAGTTTGAGTTCTGAGCATCTTAATGCTGGTACAAAATGAGGACTGCAGATAAAAATTGATTAGGCAGCTTAGGAATCTTTGCTGGAGTTATAGAATTCAGGAATAGTTCTGGTTCCTAATTCCTTGTTATCTCCTCTAGAGGAACACTCTGCTTAGAAGCTATGCATTATGGTGCATAGTGATATTAAACACTGTGGAAGTAACCACTGTCTGATAAGATTTAAGGCCCACTCCATGAGATGGAACCTATGCCTGGCACTGTTCAAGTGGCCAAGAATTTGAAACTGTATAGTCCATGGACCTAGGGGAACATCAACTACTACTATTCTGCTAAAGGAACGTAGCAATAAAATGACTCCTAATGATATTCTGCTATACTCATAGATCAGTGTCTCACTCCATCATAATTAGAGAAGCTTTTTTCTGCACTACATGAGAACTAGTAAAGAGATCCACAACTGGACAATGGAAACAGAGTGAAACATCTTGTAACCATCTTTTAACACTCAATCTTAAATGGGATGTCTTATCAAATCCCTCACTACAGGGCTCAGGGAATTATGAGGAAGAGGAGGCAGATAATAGCCAGAGGAGATGAATGATACCAAGCAAACAGTGTCATTAAAACACAATAGGACTGACATACATAGGAAATCACAGAGATTGTGGTAGCATGCATAGGGTCTGTCTGTGCTCTTTCTTAATTTTTGTTTTTCCTTTGTTTGTCTATTTTATTTGCCTGTATGTTTTCTTAAGAGAGAGAAAGAAGGCATGGAGTTGGAAGGGTGAGGTGGTGAGGAGGATATGGGAGATGAGGGAAGAGAAACCGTGATCAGAAATTTATTGTACAAAAAAGACTTTATTTTCATTAGAAGAAAGGAGGAGGAAGAGGAGAAGGAGGAGGGAGGAGGAGAAGGAGGAGAAGGACGACAACGATGATGACGACAACAACAACAACCTGCTACCCATTAGGATATGACTGAAACTCAGCCCATACACCAATCCCTTCCATGTGGAAATGGTTTATTATATATTCCCCAATTTCAGCTTATCGCCTACATGATTTAAGATCCCTATTCAAGGAGGAAATGTTATAAGATCCATAAAGGTCATTGAGGAGGGACCTTCCCTCTAGCCCTGGGTAAAGACATGACATTCTGACTTACTCCAAAGATTCAATATTACATACTGTTATTTCTTTCTTCCTTTAAAAGTTACTCCTAGGCAGGCCTAATGCTCAGGAGTTGACCAACACAAACCAACTCGTGTGTGTGTGTGTGTGTGTGTGTGTGTGTGTGTGTGTGTGTGTGTGTGTGTGTGTGCTGGAGGAATGCTAAATGTTACATTTTGGGTTGTTTTTGTATTCTTTGTATCTTATTAGATTCTAGTTTGTTTTGATTTTTTTTTTGCCTTTTGTTTTTAGTTTGAGAGAGGTAGGGGAAGGAGAGGGAGGGGTGGGGAAGGGAAGAGGAGGGATTAAGAAAAATTATGAAGTTGGATGGGTAAGGAAGTGAGAGGATCTGGGAGAAGTTAGGGGAGAGAAATATATTATCAAAATATATTATATGGTAGGACTCACATGCATATACTAATTGCCAGTAAAGCACTTCTAATATCAAATATTTTCTTCAAACACATTTTCTTTTTTTAGTGTCACAAAAAGACTGTTTTTATTTATTTTTTATTTAATTTTCCATTTTATTGAAAATAGATGCTTTTCTCAAAAAAATGTATCCTGATTACAGTTTTTTCCTTCCTCTACTCCTCCCAGTTTCTCCCCACTTCCCCTCCCACCTGGCTCCACTCCCTTTCTGTCTCACATTAGAAAAGAACAGGCTCCTAAAGATAGTATTAAAATATAACAAAATAAAATATAATAAGAAAAAACAAAAATTATCACATTGATGTTGGAAAGAACAAACCAACAGAAGGAAAAGAGCCCAAGAGAAGGCACAAGAGACCCACTCATTTGCACACTTACGAATCCCACACAAACACTAAACTGTAAGCCATAATATATATGCAGAGGACCTGGTACAGACCCGTACAGGCCCTGTGAATACTGTTTCAGTCTCTGTGTGTTCATATGAGGTTTGATCACGTTAATCTACAGGGTTTTGTTTCCTTGGTATCCTCCACTTTCAAGTGTGCACAGATTGTCAGTATTCTTTAATGCCACATTCTCAGCCCCAAATATATGAAAAGTTATACCAAGTTCAAGTGATGTTGCCGATGCTTTCAGAGACAAAGGTTAGCTAAAAGATAGATAAGTGGAATGAGTATGATTTGAGGATCACCTTATATGTACTCTATGGAAAGATTTAAATCGGCTGTATAAGAGATATAATGTAAATCTACCCACATTAGCCAACTTCAAGTTACCAATCTAACAGTACTGAATGCAGAGTTGGGAACTGAGCATACCACCATTACACAGTATAATCATGTGATGTGGATAGCATCCATTCTAGGATGTATCCATCTACATATACCTAATAGCTAAATCTACCCAACCTTGTGCACTGAAATGAACACAAAGTAACAACTGGTATATTTTAAGTATTAGTTATTACTTTTATTTTTATTATGAAAACATGTTTATATTTAATTTATATTAGTTATTGTTTTAACATTAATTTTATATCTTTTTATCTAATATACTGTGTCTTCCTATAATTTTACTTTTAATAATGGCTATGGTTAACAACTCACAAATTCCTAAACAATAAACAATCAAGTCTCATAAGGTCAGACTGGTAGATCTGGCTTCATCACATCATTGGATCTGATAAAGTAGAGTGGAGGGAAACGGTTTTCTTTATGCTTGTTTTAATTCAGTTCTAGCATCTGCCGACAAACACAAAATTGTGCAATCACCAGTTTCTCAAGTTCTTGGAAATCAGAGGAAACGTGACAAGTGATCCATGGAAATACAGATCAGAAATGATGAATAACAAAGATAAAATTAAACTGATCATGGATTGGGGAAATTTAGCAGAAACATATTGAAAGAGTCCACAAGAGATAATGTTAAGACAGTGCCTTAAATAGAAAGCAATGCCATCAAAGTTGAAGGCTGTCTCTGATTGAATCATACTGAAGATCCTTCAGAGACATGGTAGAACATCAACCTGTGTCTATTTTTCATTCGCAGACATTACAGTGAAATGTGTTCCTTCAAATAGAAGAAACAGAATCTTATTACAAATCAGTACTTGAAATCTGTACCAATTTGCATAAGACAGGAAATCCCTTCCTGCCCAAAACAACCAAACATATAAGATGCTGTACAGAGACTGTACAGGGTCAGCCTTCTCTTGGGAGGTGACAGCTAAGAATGCCATCTTCCTGCCCTTGATGTGCCCATCTGAACAAGAGAGGCAGGCTATGGGAATAAGACCTCCAGGGACCCTCTACTGCTGACCCCTAAGTCCTCTGGGGTGATAGGAGACTTGCATTACTCTCTCATAACACTCCAACCTGCACTGTTTGTCTCTGTAACTCTTATTAATAAGGATGACAAAAGAAAGAGGTAGCTAGACCATTCTTGGTAGATCTCTACACTCAATGTGAGGAAGCCATGTCATTTGAGGAACTATACAGGTCTACTCTCTTTCCTGGTACACACATACACACACACACACACACACACACACACACACACACACACACACACATACAATTTCAATCTTTTTCAGAGTGCCAGGACCGCAAAACACTGTGCATGACCCTCCTCTACAGCTTGATCCTACATTTCCCACCTTATTCATTATGCATTGGGCCTATTATGGCAGTGGAAGGGAAATGGGGAACGTTTATGACTGCACTTTGTTGTGTGTGTATACATATATATGTACATATATGCATGATTATTCAAACATTAAAACTGTAGAAATATCTTCATCTATTTCCTACTAATTCAACTTACCATACTTCGTGCTAAACCAAGAGTTCCCCACATTACCATTCCAGAGGCACCCAGAGCAACTGTTTCACCAATTGTATTCACAAGGTCATCCTAGAAAATATGACAGAAAGAAAGAGTTATCCCATGGGAATGAAGTGAAAGTGTTAAACATTTGATAGTAATACCAAAGTTAAACATGATGATCCAACAATTTAAATATTTCTACACTCTTTATACACTCTACACAAGTATTTTGTTACTGTTTTAAAATGGAGATTATCATTGCTTTAATTACTTCTTCTGGCAAAAGAACACATTCATTAAATAAAAAAAGAGGAACAGTTAAGGTATAGTCTATACTACATATAATTATTCATGGTTACTAGCATCTCATAGGATTAAAATCAGGATCAAGTGCTGGGCTGAGGCGATAGATTGGTTGGTAAAGTGGATTCTGTGTAAACATGAGGACCCAAGCTCCACCCCTAGGACCCATGCTTGCTGTGGGATGTTCTGTAAGTCCTGTGGGAGCCCATTCTTGGGTTCCTCGTGGCTTTACCCAGCAGGTCCGCATAGAGGATGATTAGGACCACAAGCCTGAGTGCAGGTGTCTGAGATGGTCTGCACTTGGCTGTGCTGGGGGGAATGGTCTGTATGTCAAGTTGCTCTGATTGGTCAATAAATAAAACCTGATTGGCCGTGGCTAGGCAGGAAGTATAGGCGGGACTAACAGAGAGGAGAAATAAAAGAACAGGAAGGCAGAAGGAGACACTGCCAGCCGCCTGCCAGGACAAGCAGCATGTGAAAATGCCGGTAAGCCACGAGCCACATGGCAAGGTATAGATTTGTGGAAATGGATTAATTTAAGCTATGGGAACAGTTAGTAAGAAGCCTGCCATGGCCATACAGTTTGTAACCAATGTAAGTCTCTGTGTTTACTTGGTTGGGTCTGAGAGGCTGTGGGACTGGCTGGTGACAAAGATTTGTCCTGACTGTGGGCAAGGCAGGAAAACTCTAGCTACACATGCTCTAAAAAAAGGAATGGGGCATGGAGAGGCAAGCTTGCCAGCTTGCAAACCCAATGCTGGGAGGCAGTCAGGCAGATCTCTGGGGCTCACCAGCCAGGTAGACTAACCTAACAGGCAAACTTCAGGTCACAGCAAGAGGATCTGATTCAAAAATCAAGGGAGACATAAAGGAATGACACTTGAGGTGAATGAACCCTCACCCACACCAAAAATTTTGTTCATTTTAAATGATTTAAAGTGTTCTCATTTTGTCTCCATTACAAACAGCACTTTCTTGTTGTACATATTCATAAATATTAAATACCAAATTTCACCCTTTGAAAACATAAAATTCCGTTCAGTGTGGTTTGTAAAAATGATCTCTTAGCTGCTGTGCTGGTTTTACTTACCTGATTCAGGTATTGGGAAGTCAGATCAATAAACACAATGCGAGCATATACAAAAACAGGAACTGGATTATGAGGGTCCCTTGTCTTAGACACCCTAATGGCCTCTCGTACCCGATTTCTGACATAGAGTGCTGCCTGTGGAGATGACTTCAAGTCACTTTTCAAATATATAGATGGGTAGAGGGCTGTGCTTTCCTTCCATATCCAGAAGAGAGCGTCGTTTCTTTTCTTTTCTATATCAGGGCAATGTCCATTGTAGTTGGGGTCTTGAAATTTATTGTTATAACAATCAGGAAAAAGATAAAAACCCCATAAGTGATTTGGCCGAAGTGATTTCCCCAATTTTAAAGTCTCTTCCATAAAATTTCTTGCTGCATGTTCAAATTCTTTTTTGGCCCTCCTGGTGACTTCTGTTAAATTAAGTTGTTTATTTTGTTGGTGGACCAATTCAATGGACTTATTCCTGTAAATATCCTTGGGTTTCCAGTTTCTTGACCAGGTGGGCCTCCAGTCTTCCCAATCAATGATAGCCAAGCCCACATTGTCTATTGGCATGTAATGCTCGATGTCACTCTTAGATTTTGCCAAATGATTTTTTAGAGATCCCAACTGGGGTATCCCTCCATGAATACTTGTTTGTGCGTCATCTATATGAGGATAGAGGCCAAGTCGATCAGTGTAAAATATTGTGACAGGCTGACCCGTGGCAGTTTTTTTGGGACTTCCTACTAAAGAGAACAAACTAAGATCTAGTGGCTCATTAAACTTTGTGAGACAAGCTTCAGTTGGGGCATTCCAGGCCCAGAGGAAAGGCACATTAGGTATAAGTGGGGGTGCTCTAAAATCTGCAGTCAAGCAACATGGAAGCAAAAGGAAGATGACTGCTGTCTGGAGTGCTCCATTAAACTCAAAAAAGCTCCCAGAAAAGGAGTGCTTCAAGTCCAACACTCGCATTGCAGAGAATTAAGTAGTATGCAAACACTTATTTCTTCTTACACACTTTGTTCTCTCCAATATTTGGTGCAAAAGGTGAGAAAGAGTGACATGAGGCCTCTCTGAGGGATGAAAGTTTGATGACTGCCTTACAATGAACTATTATTCTTCTTGCATCGTGTTTCAGGAATGTTTTGTGACAAGTTGTATAATCTATAACTAAGAAAAGGAAAAAAAAACAGTAAAGCCAAAATTTATTACCACTGGATTTGAAGGTTTACTAAGTCCTTAGCAAGCATTGATTATAGGCACTTTAATTCAATTTCAGAAGATAGAATCTCCTACCATGTTTAAATCAATCAGGGTTTTTTCTCTTATATATGATACAAATTCTGTAACAGCCTCTCCAAATCTCATCTCATAGATAACTAGCTGTAATTATGTTTCCGTTTTCCTTCTTATATCCTCAGATGCCTTAGCAAAGACAAGTTAAAAGAAAATAAACTCTTGCTTAGCAGGGTTGAAAGACCACTCTGACACTAAATGCCAAATTTTGAAAACAACTTCTCATACAGTTGAAAATTTTTGCCCTTTCAGATTCATTTGTATGTGTGACTGTAGGAACAATATTAGGAACTAAAGGTCTTGCCCATAAAGCAAATACTGCTACTACTAAGTTACATTCTCAGTCAATGTTTGTTTGAACAAGGTCTTGCTAAGCTCGCCTAGCTGACCTGGAACTTGGGATTGTTCTTTCTCAGCCTCTCGAGTATTTGAGGTTATATGGCTGTGTGCCACCATTCTGGCTCATAATTTTTTCATTTCGTCCACCTATACTTATCAACTTTCTTAGCAACAACAAGGGAGAAAGAAAAAGGCAGTTTTATGTTTGCAACAACTTAAAAAAAAGTTCAAGAGCCCCTTAGAACCCCAAGGGACCAAATCTTACAGCAATGTCCACATGTAGTTAAAATTCACAAGCTACTTTATATCTTTACAAAAGGAATTGGTTCTAGCCTACCTTTAATAAAAACAAGATACGGATTTTGGAAATTAAACTGTTTAATAAGCAAAATTGCTTTGTTATTCAGAGGTAAACTGAAGGATTATTAGTAAATTTGTCATATAATGAATGAACCTACAACCAGAGATTAAATTCCATGGATCAGTATGCAAAACCTACCACCTCTAACACATATTAAAATGTTTTACTTTCAGAAGGAAAATATGGCCTTTCTATAATTATGTTGCCATGTGACGGTAGAGTGATAATTATATCCTTCTTGCTAGGAATGTTGTCCTTATCATAGCAAACTATTCACTCATTCTCGTTGTTGAAAAATAACCTCAAAAGAGTGGCATAGTCAAAATAAAAGGAAATCCTTACCTTTGTTAGTCTCATGCTTTAAACATAATGAATTATAGTCTCCTAATGTTTAGAACAGGTGAAAGCCCCAAGAAGTTCATTATTTAAACTCATACATACCTCCATATTGTAAAATGTAGAAATTTTTACTCTAAAATAAAGGAGGACAAAATAATCCTTTTCAAATATCAAGTGTCAACATCAATGACTGACTGACAGATGGGACAAGGAAACTGAATAAAAGTTTAGCTTTCTATAAATGCCAGATGAGAGAGACACTAGGCTTTTGTCTTTCTGGGTCTGGTTCACACCATTCAATATAATATATTCTTGGTCCATCCATTTACCTTAAAATTTCATTTTTCTTTACAACTGAATAGTATTGCATTTTGTATGTTAACCACAGTTTCACTATCCATTCATGTGTTGAAAGACATTCAGGTATTTTCCATTTCCTACCCATTGTTAATAGAGTGGCTAGTAACATTGTTGAGCAGCCATCTGAAGTAGGATGCCAAATCCTTGGGTCATGTGTCAAGGAGTGGTATAGTTGGGTCATATGGCAGATTTGGTTTTAGTTTTTTGAAGATTCTCCATTCTGATTTCCAGAGTGTGTAAACCAAAGTGCATACCCACTAACAGTGAATAAGAGTTCCTCTTTTTCCACAATCTCACCAACATTTGGTGTCTCTTGTTGACCTTAGCTATTCTGACTGCGGTGAGATGAAATGTTGGATATTTTTTTTTTTTTGGTTTTTTTTTGAGACAGGGTTTCTCTGTGTAGCTTTGCGCCTTTCCTGGAGCTCACTTGGTAGCCCAGGCTGGCCTCGAACTCACAGAGATCCGCCTGGCTCTGCCTCCCGAGTGCTGGGATTAAAGGCGTGCGCCACCAACGCCCGGCTGAAATGTTGGATATTTTAATTTATATTTCTCTACTTACTAAGTGATTCCAAAAGCAATATACATTATAGATGTAGCTCTTCGTTGCTTCTCGGGGGTCAGGGTGGTTCCATAATGCTGAAGACGCCGCACACTTAGGACACAGGACTCAAATTATTTGAGCTGGGTCTGACCTAAAAGCCACGGGGAGGCTGGCTAGGTTTCCAGGACCAGACCTGGTTCCTCTCCTGTTGAGTGGCTCTTAAATCCCATTCGACAACTGTTGTTGGCACTGACATGTGAATGCTACGTATTATACCTTCATGTATATCTTGCCATGCTGGTAATTGTCATGATTTCTAAGTGTGCAGCTGCATAGGACTGTTAATTGCTTTTTTCCCTTGACAGATTGCATAATATTTTCTGGAACCATGGAAGACAGTCTGTATGAAAGAGGCTTTTTGGTCAGACCCAGATTTTACACCATTCAACTGTATTCTGTGAATTAAAACATTTGAAAGTGTTGTATAAAATTACTTTCAACTAGTTATATATAAAATAACAGCATTTCAGTTTTCTTTGGTCCCATGCCTAAGATATCTCTCTGTGTATATTCAGATATTCTAAAACTATATGAAGGCTGTGATCTGAAGCACTTCTGATTCCATGCATTTCAGGTAAGGACTATGTCACCTGTATTATACTACAGTTGGCTCCTATGTGTCTTCTTGTTCAATCTGGGAACAGTTTTCTCAATACACAGCAGCTGGGTCCTGATAGCACCTCAAGCTCCAATGGGGAGACTCACCCTGTTTCTAGAACCAGCCACTAGACCACTCTTGAGTGGCGTTATGGCAAGAAATCTGTTAGTCTCGATGTCTTCTCAAGTAGGGACATGTTGATTGCATCCCTTTACAAACAGGTTTCTTTCAAAATAATTTTAGAAGTAAGAGAATGAAATACATTTGAAATCCTAGTTAAACTCTTATTCTTTTGTAAGGAAACTTTATCAATGGAATACATGCCTGCTTATTAAATCCTTTGAGTTAGGCATCACTTGTCTGAGGAATCCCAAAATAATTTTGTGATAAAATTGTAAAGCCAAAGCCATCTGTATACACTTACCAATATAGTATTTACCACTATATATTCAAAAATCTCTAAAATGAGAAACTATCTAGAGTAAGTCATTGTGACACTTTAAAACCTTATTTTATTTTGATAGAATTTATGCAAATATCAGAACCAGTAATAATCCTAGTGAAGCAACATGTAAATTGTCTTGAATGCTTGCTAATTAAAGTAGAATACACAACTAAAAGTTGAGGTACACAAAAGCATGGAAGTAGGTGATTGAAGAATTAAATTTCAGCTCTATGAATGCTCATTTTTTTCTGACAGTCTTTTAAATATTTTTTAGCTACTCTTGGATCCAACTATCATATAGTTTTCCAAATAAGAAATGAAAGTAACATAAAGTGTAAAGCTAAAAATGAATCTGCCAGAACAGATTTGAAGTAGTTGCTTCTCTTCACTGAAGAAAGAAAAATGACCACAAAGTTTCTCACTCTTGTTCATTGCAAGGCTGATCAGGACTTCTGTGTTATTTTATGGCAAAGAAGTTGGTTATTGCTTTTTGGGTTTCTTTTTCAATTTTGTTGTGTATATTTGAAATGTACAAAATGATTTTATTAGAAGGTACAAGTTGTTGAGATCAAAACAGGCAAGTTACGATAGGATAGGCCAAACAAAAGGTACCAAATTTCTTGTACTGATTTCTGCTTTCTTTACAGCAAATGCTTTCTTTCATAATGAATGCTTTGCTCTGGTACATAATAATTAAAAGTACAGAAAACACAGTCATAATTATGAAATAGAAACCATCACAATGCTGTATCTAGAACTTCATTATATTCCTCATCCATATAACCATCAGCTTGATGATGTTAGGAACTGCATGCAGCTATAGTCATTTTACCATTAAAATTATAGATTTTTAAAGATAAATTGTTACTATAAATATAAACAGAGAACTTTCAGAAACATTGGTAAGTATTGATATACAAAGATGATGTTTTTGGTGGCAAGAAGAACCAAGGAGTTGGTGAGGCATAGAAAAGAGCACAAAGAATTAGGTCATTCTCTAGCCATTCCCTCATTCTCCATTGCTGTTCAGTTAGAACACCTGAGCATGATAAAGGCCATCACAGGACTAAGCAAATAGCTGGTAGCCTTTGGAGCCTCACACTACCAAAGTCAGCTTTTACCATATCTGGATCATATCCACAAATATCTAAAGACTCATTCTTTAGAATAAAAATAGATAGATAGATAGATGATAGATGATAGATAGATAGATAGATAGATAGATAGATAGATAGATAGATAGATAGATAGATAGATAGATAGATAGATCCATTTGGGAATAGACTCCAGTTTTATTGTCCTTGTACACTAGTGACACTGGGTACAGAGTACTAAAGTTCTTCATTTCAAAACAAAGATGGATGCCTACTGCCAGTTAAACACTACAGGGATTCTAAACTGAGTTTCAGACAAACTTTTAAAAGGTAAGATTAAAAGGACCAGAAAGATGGCTCTTACAGAAGACCTGAGTTCTGTTCTCAGCACTCACATTGGGTGGCTCACAACTACCTGTAACTTTGGGTTTAGGGGATCCAAAACTCTCTTCTGACCTCCATGAACACTGCATTCATGTGTACATACCCACCTACTCACATACACACACACACACACACACACACACACACACACACACACACACACACACACAAATAAATTTTTAAAAAAGATAAGCATTAAAAAAAAAACAGAAAAAGTGAACATTTCTTCTATTAAGGCAAGGATATTTTCTAACAATTTTTTCTTGAACTATATTTTACAGATAATTTGGCCAGAACTAGATTACACAAACTTGCTTCAACAAGAAAATTTAGTATAATGTTGCATTTCT